AAATTCAAAACAGAAGAACTGGCTTACGAAGTAGGGATTTCTTTGGAAATACGAAAAGGATCCAGAACAATGAAATCGATTAGTAACAGTAATTTAATACAAAACAATAAGAAATAGGTTGTTATAGTTGACGTTATGTTTGAGTGGGATTCATGGATTTGGTTTCAGTTGTTTATTTATGGAGTATTATATATAATTAATGGCAAAACAATTTTGAATGATATTGAGGTTGAAATTTAGAGTATAGTTTTGTAATTTATTCTAATTAGGACTATGTGTTGGTATTAATTAATTAATTAGTGAATGATTAATTAAGGTGTTGGGTAAACTCATGATATTATGAGTAAAAGTTGATTAAGTATATTTAATGTTTAATTAAAGAGATTAAACTAGTTGGAGCGGTAGTCTGGGACTTACCCAATGATACGTTTGTTGAGCGCAGTTAGGGACTGTCTTCGAGAGTGAAATACTCTTTTGTTATGGCCATTGGGATAAAGGTGCCCTTAGTATGTGGACGTGGTCAGGGGCCATCTGGGTGAGTAGATGTACAACCCAGCCACATGTGTGTATTTGGTAGTCAGGAACTATGCAATTCACACCATTTATTCGGAGTGGAGCCAGGGGCTTATGTGAGGTAATGGCATTAGAACGCTAACTGATTGAGGGGAGCCAGGGGCTCATGTGAGGTAAGTGGGAATTTTAGTAATTTAAATTCTAGATGGGTTACAAGTTCACAGGTTGAGTTAATATTATAGAATGACGATGATTAGTAGATATTTTGCGGTCACTTATATATGTATATATATACAGATTTTAAGTAAGGATTAACTTGCTGAACGATGATAGTGTTTAGCAATTTCTTGCTGAGCTTGTGAGCTCACCCCTTTATTACTTTCAGGTGCACATGGATTTAGCTTGCAATGGAGGCTCAATGGGAGATGGAGATTTTCCGAATTTTCCACATTTTAGTTTTATTTTTGTTTCTTAGCAAACACTTTGTATAAAGATTCACTTAGTTGGTAGAATTTTAAATTAGTTGGGATGTAATAGATTTCCTTTGGATTGATGGATTTTTAAATAAAATGTTTTCTTATTGATTTAATCATGATTATGGTGGATGTATGATGTGAGTCACGTACTAGATGTTAGTATAAGACAAGGGTTCTTGTGTTAAAATTTTTGGGGCGTGACACCTTGTTCAAATTACACATTATTTTAAAAAAAGTCATTTTGTAAAATGATGAAAAATGACAACACCCTTAAGGTAGGGTAAAGTGCAAAAAGCACCCATAAGGTGTGGGTGATTGAACACCCATTTTTTTTCCCAGTAAAGATAGAACAGCCATTTTTTTTAATTCAATAAAGATTGAACACCAATTTGTTGTTATGTAATGAATTGTATTTATATATATATTTGCAAAAATTTAAGGAGTAGTGATGCGTTGTTGTTTTTTTTTTTTTTTTTTTTTTTTTCAGTAAAGATTGAACGCCCATTTGCTGCTATGAAATGAATTATATAAATCTATATTTATGAAAATTTATTGCAAATTCTAAAGTTTTAAAAATTAAATGTATATTATATATATATAATGAATCAGTATCTTTAATTTAAAAAATTTAATTATATATTTAATGAAAATGATAACCATCTTTAATATTAACTGGAAATAATTTTTTATTCTTTATAATTATAGAAAGAACAGAGGTTTTCATTCCATATGATATGTTGTACAATCTAACAAGTATGAGAACAAAATATCTTTTTGAGATATATATATTTTTATCTCTATTTGGCCAGTAAAATAAGTACATATATTAGAACTCTCTAACTTGTGATATTAAAACAGTCAACTCAATAAGAGATAATATAGAGAGATAATACATTGTTAGGAGAAATATAGAGAGAAATATATACTTAGATGGAAATAAGTAAGAAAATAAAAGAAATGGAAAGAAAAGTGAAGTGAATGAAAAGAAAAGTTATTTCTAGCATATATTTGGTTAACATGAAAATTTATTCAAAAAAATTGTAGAAAAATATTAATTTATTATTTCGAATAGCATGAAAGTGAAAAAAAAGTGATTGAAAAAAAAAACAACTAATAACAACGAAAAAAAAAAAAAAAAACAACGGAGATGAAGAAACTGATAGCAATACTAATTTATAAAAAAGATTTGGTCGTATGTTGTTGTTGTCAATTATATATGCAATTGTGAGAAAACAAAGAAAGAGTTGTTAGTTATTTACCAACATGTAAGTGGCTTAGCGGTACCAGACCCCTACTTCCCAAAGGGAGGTTAGGGGTTCGAACCTTAATGGAGGCATGTATGCGTTAGTAACATCAACTAAGGAAAAAAAAAAATAATAAGAAGAAGAAAGAGTTGTTTCGTAGAGAAATTTCCTCTTTGAAACTTTTATAAAAAAAATTAAAGGAAGTAGTATTTTACACTATTAAGTTAATGGGTAAAATAGGAATGTCAAATAAAAAACCACTCCTTTCATGCAAAAATATTATTTTCCTGTATTTTATGCAAGAAAAGTTTTGAGAGAAAATAAACAAGTATGGGAAACAAAATTTTCTATTACGTTTCTATTTTTATCTTTCCAAACTCAAAAATAAATAAATAAATAAAATAAATAAATTTCAATTTCCTTCACTTCCTAGTTGATTTCACCCACCTAACTAAACGAAACCTAAAAGGAGCTAAATATAGTTAATGTGCACATAACACCTCTCTATTATGAAATTATTAGTATACACAACAATTGAGCATTTTCAAAACAGTAAAAGGACAAAACAGGTATTACAACATTATTTTATGTTAAATTTATGCAAAAAGTAATTTGATAGATGTCTTCGCTCAATTTTTAAAAAATAAGAGGGTTAATAGCATACTTTTTAAAATAAGATGTGAAAGTGTTAAGTGTGTTACGTGGAGTATAACGGCACTTTACTCTATTTTTTAATGATATTTTGTTAATATCAATTTTAACCTTATTTTATAAAAGAGAAAATTAAGTTTACATATGAGTCTGACAACCTCTAATTGCATGTACTTCCAAAGGGCGCAAATCACCTGCTGTGTAATTCCCATGCCGTTTCCTACAGTGAGCAGTGAGTGGCCTTGGTTCGGCCACGTTTTACTCCATTTAATAGACACTAACATTGTGTTTGGCAATTGCACCACTATTTGTAAGTAACATTTCACCACCATTTTTAAGTAACGTCACAGAAGTCTAAAAGTAATATCACATAGTCTAAAAAGTAACATCACCACCATTTATAAGTCTTTCACCCTCAAAACTTGGTAATGTTACTTTTTAGACTATGTGATATTACTTTTAGACTTCTGTGATGTTACTTATAAATGGTGGTGATGTTACTTTTTAGACTATTTTTACATTTCACCACCATTTATAAGTAACATCACAGAGTCTAAAACGTAATATCACCATTTGTAAAAGGAAATATCACCACTTTTAATTTCAGATAATAACATAAATGATATGTTGAATTGAGTTATGTTTTTATGTGATATTACTTTTTAGACTATGTGATGTTACTTATAAATGGTGATGAAACGTTACTTATAAATGGTAGTGTAATTGGCCAAACACAACCTTAGTGTCCGTTAGCTGAAGAATGATGTGGCCAAATATAGACCACTTAAAAGTTACAACAGGAAACTGCATGGGAGCCTCACTGCAGGTGATTCACGCCCACTTCGAAATCTGCATGATATTATTATTTTATTGTTTATCAACTAACTATAATTGTGGTCTTTTTAGAGAAAAAAATAAAATAAAATAAAAAATTGTTGTCTTTTAGTTAGTAGCGTAACGGTGGATGAAACTTAGTAAAATTTATTTGCTTAGGTTATAAAATCATCTTTTCAAACATGAAAGCATACGAAGGTAATACTGCTAAAATAAATTTTTTTTTTCAAACACTGATTACTATAATTTTATTTTTTATTTATTAATCAACTAAACATAATAATAAATTAACATTATTATTTTCTCTCATTTTTTTAATTACTAATATTATCTTTTTATTTTATTTTATTGTGCAGTCACGTTTTACGCCGGAAATCACTTTTCCGTTACTAACACAGTCAAAATGGGTGTAGAATGAAGCCTTCCAATTTAAAACCTCGTAATTGTATATGAAGGAAATTACCCCATCACCACCAGGTCACTCACACATTCTCTCTTCCAGTGCCGGCAACGTCACTGCACACTCCCTCTTTCCAGCGCCGGCTACCCCTCACTACCACAAAGTCAAGAAAAGCATTGGAGTCTCTATCCTTGTCTTTGAACAACAATTTCTGATCTTAGCCCATAAAACATTTTCTTCAAATCCCCTGCAATCAATCACAAACCCATCAAACACCTTATTATCATACTCAATTTCCAAAAATAAAATTCAATTATTGGCAATGAAGGGGAAATAAAATTTGATTTTGAGTTACCAAATATGGCTTGAGAGCTGATATTGATTTCATGGTAGATGGACCCATACTTGACCCAAACTCAAATGGTGGGTGGCGGAACGCAGTTTTGATCTGAATCCGGGTTTTGCTTCTGAAGTCTCAGCTCCCATTCACTCTCGCCGCCGACACCGTCGCGTGAATTCACCAGTGACAGTCTCGTCATTCTAGTCTTCATTCGCATTAACTTGCTCTTTGATTTCGAGAGATGTACATAGGGTTTTGAACCAAAAGTGTTTCGATTTCAATTCCAGAGACTCAGATCAAAATTTTCTTCTCTGTACAATTTTTAGTCGAATACACAAAACCTATTGTGACCGCCAGTTAGACCCACGCGTGTAGAGAGACAAAAGTTAGAGAGTGAAACACTCTCCCTCGAATAATCGATGGATTTCTGGAAATAAGAAATCAAACCCAAAAATGTTGAAATCTTAATCGGCAAGAAGAGATCGGTCTATTTCTCTCTTCCTTCTCTTCTTTGTTTATTGGTGGTGCGGCGGCGGTTATGGATGGGGGAACCAGAATCCTCTCCCGTGGAACTGGAGAATCTGTTCCCTCCGGTTTTCACTATAGCAATGGTAAAAAGGGCCAAACAGTACGTTGGGTAAAAAAAGTACACAGAGACACATATACGAACAATACACATACAAAAAATTATACATACATACACGAAATATTTCCTATTGAAACTCAGATTGAAGCGGCAAATTGGAAAATCCAAAACAGATTTAGCGCCTCTTCTAATCTTCTTTCTTCTTCTTCTTCTCTCCCAATTTTTCCTCCTTCTTTCCAAATTTACAAATTCTTTCCAAAGGTTTTATTGAACGTCGGCGGAGAAGAGGAAGGCACAATTGCGACTTTCTAAATTTCTAATCTTGTTTTTTCTTCTTCTCTCCCGATTTTTCTTCTTTCTTTCCAAATTTACAATTTCTTTCCAAGCATTTCATTGAATGTCGGAGAAGAGGAAGGTACAGTGATGAAGGAATGCTCTTAATATGCTTTCTTCTTCTCTCCCTAAATATAGAATGAAATAAATTCGTCTCCTCTTAATATGCTTTCTTCTTCTCTCCCTAAATATAGAATGAAATAAATTCGTCTCCTCAAAAAAGTCCCAGCTTTCCTTAATTTTGTTCTTTCCAAAATTACAATTTGTTTGGAAAGGTTTGATTGAATCGTAGGGAAGAGGAACCTTCAGTGTCGGAGAAGAGGAAGCTACAGTGACGAAGGTATGTTCTTAATCTGCTTTATTCTTCTCTCCCTAAATATAGAATGAAATAAATTGTCTTCCCAAAAAAGTCCCAGCTTTCCTTAATTTTGTTCTTTCAAAAATTACAATTTGTTTGGAAAAGTTTGATTGAACGTGGGGAAGAGGAACCTTCAGTGTCATGTGTTTGGTAATTCTTGAACTGTTATTAAACTGTGAAAAATTAAATGAGAAATTGTGAAAATTATATGATTAAATTGTGTAAAAGTTGTGATATTCTGTATTAGAAGTTCTGTTATGTTTTCAACTTCAATTTAAGATGTTAGAATAAAATATCCATTGTATTCCTGTAATGCAGTGTTTTATTCGTGATAAATACTACAATATATTTGGGATATTCTGTATAATAAGAAATAGATGTTTTACACTTCCAATTTAATATGTTAAAATAAATTTTCCATTGTATGAAATGTAAGTGCCCATTGACAGTTATGATTGTTCATTATAAATAACTCAACTTGGTTGTAATGTTTCTCAAAACAAGCCCAAGACCTTCCCATCATTTCCCACTAACTAATGCTCCCACATTTCATCATTGTCAGTTAGACAAGTGGGAAAAGTAAAGAAACAAATAAACAATGAAGTAAAAAAAAATACCTCTTGACTAAATTAGTATATTTCAATATCTTTGAAAGTTTGATATATATATATATATATACATATATATCAATAAAAGAGTGAAGGAGAACTAATGCAGATTCTTTTCACCACAACGTTCTGTTCTTGTTGTTGTAACAATGAATTGGATTTGAATAGTTGGCTTGTTCATGTCCTTTTGACCCTTTATTTCTATCTTCCCTTGTTTCTTCATCTTTGGGAAGAAGTGGTCAGTGGGTTTTGAATTAAAAACCCACTGTGGCACAGTGTGTGTGTGTGAGAGAGAGAGAGAGAGACAGAGACAGAGACAGAGAGAATGGGTTGTCTGGGACTTTAAGTTGCAAAGAAGGCAATGTGGCTCTATCTTTTCTGTCATGGGTTTTAATCGTTGTGAGAGATGGGGGCACTATGCTTGCTACTCCAATACAGTTGTCTATGTCTTTGGGTATGTATCTTTCTTTAAAATAAGAGAAATAAAATTTTTATTTTATTTTTTTTCTTCTGATTATTCATTAATAATAATGCTATTTGGAGTGTTTTTTCTTTGATCATGATCTTTGGATTCATTTTCTTATTTTACTTAATTTACTCTGTTACTATCTGTGTGGTAGCTTTCATGATGTTCTTTGGTTATTTTTATTATTAGTATTATTCTTATTATTTTTTATGTATTTAGTTTTGAGTTTTGGGTTAAAATTTATTCTCTTTTTTGTTCTAGGCTGTTGGTATAGTTATCTTTAGCTAATAGCATGTGCACTTTCTACAAATGTTTTAGTTTTTTCCTATTCTCTCTTTAATATTTGTTTGTTGTTGGTTTGTCTTTGTTTGAATTTCTCAAATTAGTTGGGATGTTGTTTGGTTGCATGATTAGCTACATCACACTACTACTCTTGGTTGCATGACATGGAAATGTTTTTCCAATTCGTATTGTTGTTTCTTCTTATACCCCTAACTTAACATGGTTGTAGTGTTTCTCAAAATAAGCCCAAAGAAATTTGCAAGTTCATATTTGATTTGGAAAAAGTTAAATGAATAATTGAACACAGTTGTAATTTTTATAAAAATAGAAGGTCCAAAAAGGTTGGAAGTGCTTGTTTGACTTGGAAAAAGATAAATAAATAATTTATTTTGTTATTTGTAGCAAAATTAAAATATGTGTAGTTGAGGAAGTTGGTTCCCTGCCCTGATACATTATACTATCTTGAATAATGGTAGTATGTCAGAAAATATTTCCAATTAATAATCCATACCTGTAACACAGCCTTTCGTTCAAATGTATTTTTTATATATTGTAGGTTTCTGATTTCAATTATTGGAATGGAAGAGGTATTAAATAACATCGAAGACACCACATATACAGAAAACGCTCCTATTGCAGGGGCAGGTGTCGTAGAATGGAAACCAAGAATAGGTATGAAGTTTGAAACTGAGGAAGAGGCATATGATTTCTATAATTCATATGCCGGTCGAGTCGGTTTTAGCATCCGCAAAGAGTATTTTAATAAGAGCAAGAAGACTGGTAAACTGTCATCGAGATTGTTAACATGCTGCAAGGAGGGTTTCAGGGGTGACGACATTCGGGACAGTAATACAAAGACTCCCAGGGCCGAAACACGAACTGGTTGCCCTGCTCGAATGCTTATACAAGTTTCCAAGTATACGCATAAGTTGGAAATTACAAAATTTGTTGAAAGCCACAACCATCCATTGATGATTGATGAATGCATACACATGCTGTCATCCTAGCGTAGAATTAGCCGTGTTCAGGCCATTGATTTGGAATTGGCTTCTGATTCAGGAATAAGCCCTCGCAATTCATATGAGTTGATGGGAAGACAAACTGGTGGAAAACAATCAGTTGGGTACATGAAGTTGGATTTACTAAACCATATAAGGATCCGAAGACAAACTGAGCTCGAATATGGAGAGGCAGCATGGCTAATGAATTATTTTGAGACTCAGTCTTATGAAGATCCATCTTTCTTTTATGCATTCCAATTGGATAGTGATCAAATGATCACTAACATATTCTGGGCTGATTCAAAAATGATAATTGATTATTGCAATTTTGGAGATGTTGTAAGTTTTGACACAACATACAAAGTTGTACATGGCAACCGTCCATTTGGAAGTTTCTTGGGGTTGAATCATTATCGGGAGACCGCTGTGTTTGGAGCAGCGTTCATGTATGACGAGACTGCAGAATCGTTTGTGTGGTTGTTTGAAACATTTTTGAAAGCAATGTCCGGTAAAGCGTCAAAGACGATCTTCACTGATCAAGATGCTGCAATGGGAAATGCATTGACGCAGGTGATTTTAATTCAGATCTCCACTCTTTGTATTTCCAAATTTTAATTGTGTAGTTGGGCGTGGTACATGTTTTTACGTAGTTATATTACAGAAAATAGTTTTTGCAGGTGATGCCAGGGACAAAACATTATCTGTGTGTTTGGCACCTAATGCAAAATATACAGAAGCATCTAGGGTTGTTATTTAGACGTACGCAAGGCTTTAAGAAGGTGTTATCAAAATTAATGTTTGAAATTAAGGAGGAGGAAGAATTTACCAGGGTATGGAATTTAATGATAACGGAAAATGGTGTTGTTGATAACACATGGCTTACAAATCTCTTTGCTTTGAAACATAGATGAGCCATGGCATTTATTAAACATACCTGGTCTGCGGGTATCCACAACACACAACTGAGTGAAAACTTCAATGGTTGCTTGAAGGCGTACTTATCCAGGCAACTGATTCTTCCAGATTTCTTCACACACTTTGAAAGGTTGTTGTCCGACAAACGTTACAAGGAGTATGTAGCCGAGTATGGGTTGCTCCACAATCTACCTCAACTGAAAACAAACTGTAACATATTAGTAGAGGCGGTAAACCTGTACACAAAGGTTATATTTAATATTTTCCAAAAGGAGTTTTTAGCAGCTGCTGCCAATCAGAGGATCATTGGTTGCAGTCCCATCGATGGCAACGGAGGCTGTGTTTACAAAGTCGTTGGTGAGGACGAAATGCAACGCGACGTGAGGAGGACAACAGAAGATGAATTGTTATGTTCTTGTTGTAAATTTGAAAGGGAGGGTATTATGTGTAGGCATAGTTTGAAAATCCTAAAAGACTCCATGTTCGCCAATACATTACCTCGTCGATATATATTAAGAAGTTGGAGTAAAACTGCAAGAGATGGCAGCTTGGAGGAAAATCTTTCCGGTGAAGTGATTGCCGAAGCTGATCCAAAAATTAAGGTTAGGAGACGGCACAGGGTACTTTGTCGTATTCTGACTGAAATTTCATCCATTGTATCGGAGGATAAGGACGGATACAATGATTTGTTAGTGAAAGCCATGGAGTGGAAAAAAATTGCCCAATCAAGTTGTAGGCGTATGTTTGCTGAGAGGAATGGAATTTATACTGGTGGTAAAGGCAGAAACCAATATGTCGGCACGAACAGAAATACTGAAAAAATTCCCAATGGTCTCAAGTGTAAAGATACACGGAAAGGAAAATTTAAGAGGTTAAAACCGACTATGGAGCTAAAGAGTCGCAATAACACGAAATCAATGAAACAAATAGTTCAGCTTCAGGTACTTTTATCCCCTTACTGTTGTCCAAGTAGTTTCATAAGTAATACCAGTTCTGTGTATTAAATTATGCATACGTAATAATTCTCATAAATGTGTTGTAGAATTGCAATGAAACCCTTCAATTAGGAGAGGCAGGTGGCAATAGTCATAGTGGAACAATCCCCTACCACGTGTTAGTGAATGTGAGTATTGTTGCATAACTATTTTTAGCACATTGCTTAACAAATAATACATGGAGAAAAATGATGGCATACCCTCATGAAAACAAAACATAGTCCTAGAAATGTTTTCCTCTCAAATACCTAAACTACTAAGCAATGGAAAGTTACAAAATGTCTTGGAGATGAACTCCCATCACATCTAAAACCTCCCATAAATTACATTTATCTAGATCCTTAGCTACTCTTGCAATCTTATCATGCAATCTATTTGAACTTGTTTATAACTTAGGTAACACTTTGCTGCCAATGCAAAGGGTTGTTGTTGGAAGAATTCCTGACTAATAACTGGTCTTTGCATAACTAAAACTGAATGAATAGACGATGTAGCTCTACCCCCAGTCCAACATAAGGCAGCCTAATCCACCTCTTCATTTTTCTCTGTCGCAGCTTCCCATGCTGCTTAACATGTTCATTATGGTCAGAAGTTAATATGTGGTCAAATGTTTTACAACATTTATTTTGTAGGGCTGTGATATTCCAGTTGAATTTCTCAGTAAAGAAAGTTATATGATGCCACCACAACGTGTAATGCATTACAGAAGGTTTTCGCAATCGCCTGCTGAACTAACTACTCCATTAACTAACCAGTCAAGTTTGTTGTTAAGGTGGAACCAACATATAAATTGCAATATACAAAGTTGCATAATTCTTTAATTGATTGTTTATAATATATCCTGAAAAATATATAATGTTGCAGACATTTGTTGCTGATTTATTCAATTCCAATACCAATTATTCACATGATGATTGCTTCACTGATGGTTTCAGAAGTAATAAGGTAAGTAGTTGTCCTCATCAACACAATTCGTACTAGTTTAATTTTTTATTGAATTTTATTCTCTGTTGTCATGGTATCTAATTTGATTGCATTTTGTGACATGATCATTTTGAAAGATAACAGATTTAAACAATTGCGAATCGAGTGTGAGGCGAACGTCCCAAATGCCAATCGAGGAGATGGACCGACCAATTGAACGACTCTTTCATAGTTGACAATCATTTCTGCTTGTATTTCACATTGTTTTAACTTATTTTGTTTATCTAACTCTGCTTAATTGTTGTTGGGTTTTATAACAATATAGGGAGGTTGGGCAAATTTATATAATTTTCTGTATTATGAAAATGCATAATAAGTGGTTTTCATCTTTTCTTATGAAATATTAACTCTTGACTTATGAGTCTGACTCAAGTATTTGAGTTGATGGAAATGCATTGAAAATATTTGCAAGGATCAAATTAATAGAATACAAATGCAACAACATTGTGATCCACTTATGCAAATACATATGTAGCATCTATCATGTTACCTATATACATATATTCCTTAAAATTTATGTCAAACATCCAAATAATTTTCTAATATAAGTCTGAACAGATCAATTTATGCAAATACATATGTTTTATTTATGGTTATATTTTTTTAGCTAATTTCGTTACCAGTTTATAGAAATCATCCCAATTAATTTGTAAGACAATTTTCAAGCCCCAAACGAAAATCATCCAAATATAAGTCTCAACAGATCAATTTGTGCAAATATATATGTTTTATTTATAGTTATATTTTTATTCATAATTTCGTTACCATTTTATAGAAATCATCGCAATTAATTTGTAAGACAATTTTCAAGCCCCAAATGAAATTCATCCAAATATAAGTCTCAACAGATCAATTTATGCAAATACATATGTTTTATTTATCGTTATACTTTTATAGCTAATTTCGTAAACATTTTATATAAATCATCCCAATTAATTTGTAAGACAATTTCCAAGCCTCAAACGAAATTCATCCAAATATAATTCTGAATAGATCAATTTATGCAAATACATATGTTTTGTTTATCGTTATATTTTTATACATAATTTCGTTAGCATTTTATAAAAATCATCTCAATTAATTTGTAAGACAATTTCCAAGCTCCAAACGAAATTCATCCAAAAATAAGTCTGAACAAATCAATTTATACAAATACATATGTTTAGTTTATCGTTATATTTTTATACATAATTTCGTTACCATTTTATAGAAATCATCCCAATTAATTTGTAACACAATTTCCAAGTCCCAAACGAAAATTATCCAAATATAAGTCTCAACAGATCAATTTATGCAAATACATATGTTTTGTTTATCGTTATATTTTTATACGTAATTTCGTTACCATTTTATAGAAATCATCCCAATTAATTTGTAACACAATTTTCAAGCCCTAAATGAAAATCATCCAAATATAAGTCTCAACAGATCAATTTATGCAAATACATATGTTTAGTTTATCATTATATTTTTATACATAATTTCGTTACCATTTTATAAAAATTATCCTAATTAATTTGTAACACAATTTTCAAGCCCCAAACGAAAATCATCCATATATGTCTCAACAGATCAATTTATGTAAATACATATGTTTTCTTTATCGTTATATTTTTACACATAATTTCGTTACCATTTTATAGAAATCATCCCAATTTATTTGTAACACAATTTCCACGCCCCAAACGAAAATCATCCAAATATAAGTCTCAACAGATCAATTTATGCAAATACATATGTTTTGTTTATCGTTATATTTTTATACATAATTTCGTTACCATTTTATAGAAATCATCCCAATTAATTTGTAAGACAATTTCCAAGCCCCAAACGAAATTCATCCAAATATAACGCTCAACAGATCAATTTATGCAAATACATATGTTTTATTTATCGTTATACTTTTATAGCTAATTTCGTTACCATTTTATATAAATCATCCCAATTAATTTGTAAGACAATTTCTAAGCCCCAGACGAAATTCATCCAAATATAATTCTGAATAGATCAATTTATGCAAATACATATGTTTTGTTTATCGTTATATTTTTATACATAATTTCGTTAGCATTTTATAAAAAAAATCATCCCAATTAATTTGTAACACAATTTCCAAGCCCCAAATGAAATTCGTCCAAAAATAAGTCTGAACAGATCAATTTATGCAAATACATATGTTTAGTTTATCGTTATATTTTTATACATAATTTTGTTACCATGTTATAGAAATCATCCCAATTAATTTGTAACACAATTTCCAAGCCCCAAACGAAAATCATCCAAATATAAGTCTCAACAGATCAATTTATGCAAATACATATATTTTGTTTATCGTTATATTTTTATACATAATTTGGTTACCATTTTATAGAAATCATCCCAATACACAATTTTCAAGCCCCAAATGAAAATCATCCAAATATAAGTCTCAACAGATCAATTTATGCAAATATATATATTTTGTTTATCGTTATATTTTTATACATAATTTCGTTACCATTTTATAGAAATCATCCCAATTAATTTGTAACACAATTTTCAAGCCCCAAACGAAAATCATCCAAATATGTCTTAATAGATCAATTTATGCAAATATATATGTTTAGTTTATCATAATATTTTTATACATAATTTCGTTACCATTTTATAGAAATCATCCAAATTAATTTGTAACACAATTTCCAAGCCTCAAACGAAAATCATCCATATATGTCTCAACAGATCAATTTATGCAAATACATATGTTTTATTTATCATTATATTTTTATACATAATTTCGTTACCATTTTATACAAATCATCCCAATTAATTTGTAAGACAATTTTCAAGCCCCAAACGAAATTCATCTAAATATAAGTCTCAA